AGGGTAATTTATCGTCTCGTATGCATGTATGTATGTATTTATAGCGCGTCTACCATTCAATTGCATTGCTCACTGCTGGCTAGTTGTGAGGAATGTGCATACGTGTGCATACATGCATGTAGGCTAGTTGTGAATATGCATACGTACGTAAGTATGTATGTATGTACATATCAATGCTTCATTTCAAACAAGCAAGTATCTTTGAATGTTTTTGAACTACAGTATCATCACTTCGGCAACACGTCAAACGCGCCTTCAGCAACAAACCAAAGGCGGTGGTTTGACTTCTGCAACAAATCAAGTTAGCTAACTGCGGCATCTTGCCTTCGCCAGTCTTTCACATATGCTGTCATGCTTTCGGCAACCGTCCAAATGCAGTATCGTGCTTATGGCTGTCGATCAAATACGGCGGTTGCTGGTTTCGTGCACGATCATTCGGAGTACAGATTTGCCGAAGTCAATATCAGTATGAGCTGTTATAAGCATCGTTCACTTGTGGTGGCTGTATTTGCAAGACAGTACGCTTTGCAGTGGTGTTCGTTCATCCTCCGTTTTTAACTTGAGTAGGCTTAAAGTCACAAAAACAGCACCCTTTGCCAATGTCTGGTAGTAACCCCCGAAATACGGGTGAGTACTTAGCTCAAAATTTATTTAAAAAACTTCGTGAAAGACAACAATTAATCTTGTATTGCTAGACACGTGATAACCCAGGATAATTTTTAAGTTCTTAAAAGACATTACTCTACTCTAAGCTTCGTGCAGTGGGCCATGAGAAAACCGTCATCTTTAAGGTATAGTCCAACCTTTCACAGTATCTGGTATTAGTCTTAATCTGAAACGCAATAATCATTGAAAATTGGCGCCGTTTATGGTGAACAATATGTTGTTGCATTATTATTTACATTGTATATACGGGAAGAGATTTTCCGAATTTTGCAAGCTCCTACTATAGTAAAATTTATTAAACAATTATCTAATTAAAAATCTATATACCAACGGTGGGCAAACGTGGCTCTTTGAGCCAAATGCGGCTCTTTGCTTAGCAAAGTGCGGCTCTTTTTACTTTCTCCTTGCTTAGAACATTTTTGCTCTTTTTACTTTTTAAAATACATATTTCATACATATTACACATATACATACATATTTTACATCATACATATTATACATATAAATACATATTTTAGCCCACAGCAATTTGCCAACAAGAAAACAGCTGATCAAGAAGAGCTGGCTGGAATTTACGCAAATCCCTAAATTGAATTTGATGATTTGGAAGTTGAAATAGTAAAATGCGACTAATTAAACTTGTAAGAAATAAGTAATTATTCGTTTAGTCAGTGAACTGTGCCAGGATAAGAATTCGGGATTTGTTTTCTTACGTTTTCAATTTTACTTCTTTTTTCAGGTCTAATCTGCGCTGGTAACATAAATTTTTTAACCGGTAATTAAAGTGTCTGTCAATTTTTAAACCTTTTTCGCATTCTGTGCTCTCTTGTGACCGGTAAATTTGGTTACCATCTCATAAGCTGGTAACAAAATATTACCCCGTGAAATATGCAATACAGGAATTTCCACAAATCTTCATAGCTGAGTTGCTGAATACTTTCACTGCATTACCAACGTACCTAGAATCGCGGTGACAAGAAGTGGTAACATTATTTGGTAGTAAAATTTTCCGGTCACAAAATCTTCGGTAACGTGCAGAATAGACCTGTTATTGTAAACAAAATTTCTATCAGCTGTTCGTCTAACTTGCAAGTTTCTGCAAATTTTCTATTCGCGTACTATTTTCGATATTTTCCTCTTGTGAGAGAATCGAAGACATTTCGCCGGAATTTCGCTATTGGACATTTTTTACTGGAGATTTTAAACGAAAGTACCTATTGACTATCCAATATTTAACAGAATTGTAACGAACGGCTTTAACTGACCTAAAACCAGATTTTGAAAATCTCGCCAAAGGGATTTTTTTAATTTTGTTTTATATCTATCTTACGTACAATAAAATAATAATAAAATTAATGCTTTTCATTTCTAATAATAATTTTATTTCAAAATAAAATTTTTGTGTTTCTTGTTTTTTTTTTGTGGCTCGTTGTAGCATTTAGAACTTACATGTGGCTCTTGTCGGCCTCGGCCTTGCCCACCCCTGCTATATACATTTTCATACAAGGCAGGATTAAGCAGTATTAAAAATATGCTGCAGAAATACAACAGCAAACAACAGCTGAGCTAAGAAGCAACAACATGCTATAACAGTATGTTTGAGATGGAATGACATGGCATAGCAATGCATGAAATTTTTGAAAATGACATTTTAATAGATACGCTGGGAAGAAGTTAAGAGAATGTTTAAACATTTAAATTTATATTTAAAATTATTATTTATATTTTGTTACCTACTTCACCGATTTGAAATCTGAAAACTATACCTTTCATGAGCATGAAATGGTATTATAACTTTGGTCCGATATTTGTAAGTACCAGAATAAGAAGAGATAGACTCATGAAAAGAACATCGAGCTGAGCCGACTTAGGCTTATGGCAACCGAACTTCAGTTGGGTGGCCACTGGCTGAAATGGTTTTACAGATGGCAACTGCAAGCAGGCAACTAAGTTGCTATATTGGCAACTGCATTTTTGTGGACGCTGCGGTAATAATCAAAGATTGTATACCTACATATAAGGTAAGCTTCAAATTACCGATTCGATGGATGGAAAGAACTCAAAATTTTCATTATAGGGCCATTGCATTGTGACTGGCGTGACATTTTACTCCATAATGTGATCAATTGTGAATTGTAACTATGTCGTCGGAACTTATACAACAGCGAAAGACATTATTTAGCATAGAACGATAACTAGTGTATAAAATAGCTTTAACAAAAATACCAAACGATTTCTTAATTATATGTAACTATCATTTGAATGAATGTGACTGGTGGGACACTGAAAATAACTCTATTTTACGCTAGCGCACTCAAAGATGAATTTTAGCCAAAATAATCAATCTTCACGAGCGATATTTTTGTGTTGTAAAATATGAATTGTACGCTTTCGTTTTCAATTAAAATGAGATTCATATAACCTTCACAGAAATATAAAAAAATATTTAAAGTTGTGACAGGTGGGACATCTCCTTGTGACTGGTGTAAAGTAATTACGCTCGAAATAAAAGTTTCCATAGACAAAAATTACAGCTTATTTTTATTTTTTTAATATTTTTCAACAGATTAATCAAATGTAGTTAT